CTATTCCCTACATTAGGTCACTAATTCAGTTCACTAGAAGGAGTGAATGAAAACGAGTAGTGAATTCGGACACTGAGTGCACCGGAAGGAATGCCGCTTTTGCATAGTTTGTGCTTGCTGTTTATTAATCATTTGAAACTAGCAAACTAGCAGCTCCAGTAGTAAGATTAAAGGATTTATTTATCACGGAAATTATGTATAAACCCTAATCAAACAATTTAATAATCAATTTCCAATGAATTTATACCCGTGTTGTAATTTATGCTGTACGCCATGGATGAGCGCTTTGTAAAAATGAACGGATTGATTATTCAGCTGCGGGCACTATCTTCTGGCAAGATGCGGGAATTAATTCGGCACGTGACTCTCACGGTGCATTATGGGCATTCTCTAGCCGTTGAGCGTGCACCAGTTGTACACTCGTTTTTGCAGTGCATTGTGGGATTGAATGAGTGCACTCCAGAACGTCCACTATGGTTTCGGACACCACTAAAAATGGCTGTTCCCTCAAATAGTACCCTATTTAAGGGTATAGGGGGCGATTTCGGACACAGCCATGGAAACACCAAAGACGCTTTTTTTTCCCCACATACGCACGACCGGAAGGAGCAGAAGCGGTGGACTTGTGGCATAATAAAAGCTCAGCTGCTTTCGAGCCGTGTGTCACGCTCGTTCAGCGGCCTCGTTTAGCCTCACCCTGCTTCATTCTACTACGTTAATAAATCATTAGCTCATCCATGAACATGATTTCTGCCAGAGTCCCGTCGGATTGCATCGGCTGTGGGGATGAAGACCACAACTCCCATGATTCCACACTCAGTCACTGCTTCATCAAACTATGCCTTTGCCTCTTTGTTTATTTTGAATACGCGCCCTCTAGCGGCACAAATTACATATTGTGCCTTTAAGTCAACAAAGTATATGATCACATATAACTTTTAAACGGGCAAGGTCAGGAAGAGCTCCTGTTACGTTAGTCAACATCATGCCAACATGTTTAAGATACACTTTTGAAAGCTGCAATCCGTAACTTTTTTTGTGTTCAAAATTTATATAATAAGCGAGTACACCATGAATCCATTTTCCAAACCATGCTTTTAGCTTGTCCTGAATCAATACGGTACACCTATAATAAGTGTTTATATTCGGACTATTTAGACTGGTTCGGGTAGGTACCGCTGCGTAGTAGCCTAGTACCTGCGTGATTCGCCATAGACATAAACAGAGAGAAGTAGCTCCGGCTACAATGTTCTTCCGCAAGACGCACGCAGTTCTGTTTATTAACCGCTAGAGCGCCAAAAGTTACGGACTGCAGCTTTAATGTTTACTGCTTGGTCTGTGTTCTTCCATTATAAGTGCTTTACAGTAACCACATTTTTTGTAATGCCAATCATGCTTATGGATCTGATGACACATATATGTGTTTTCAGTGCTGCCAATTTTGTTGAAAACTTTTAATTTTCCTCTTCATTCCTCCTACACCATTATTACACATGGATTGGAACATGGATTTGTTTGAAAAAAAAACAAAACAATTTGCATTAAGGTCTTCAAATCTATTTTTTCTCTGATGCACCTAATTCTGGGTAATATGACAGAAAATGACAAAATATTAAATGATTCTATCAACATGATTGGCTTGTCTCATCAATCAAAATTTGCCAGAACATATATTCTATACACTAAAACATTATTCTACAAATTCTTTTGAACCCATTCAGTTGGTCTCTGTTAATTAATCATGTTCAAACAAACTTAATTCAAACAAGTCTCCGCTTGTTTGATATTCTTTAACAGGAGAAAATGTGTAGTTTTACAAGGTACATGTGAAAACAGACAAAGCAGATCTATTAAATTGATGTTTTCATTTATTTTTGTTGTCATTTTCCTCAAATGTGATCAGAATGCATTTCAGTGTAAAAATCATTCCTTACAAAGGTTTACAATATTATCAATATAATAGCAATAATTCCAGAGGAATACAATATTATATTTATTGTCATTGTAACAATGACAATGGGAGACAGTGCTGATGAGATCCTATTGCAAATCAAAGAAAAGGCAGTGAAGCCGTCATCTAGCATTTATTGGCATTTTCTGCATGCATTTTTCTGTAGAAATAATTCCCTTCCAATGGAACAGTTCATAAGGATAAAAAATGCAATGCAGTGCTCAAGAAAAGCAGTCTTATGAAAATGCTGGATGTGTTTTGTGTATGTAAAGGTGGCGTATCAGTTCCAGTCACCACATTTTGCAAAGCATATAGTGTGGGTGCACTTTTCAGAAATGCTCATACATTCACAGGATGCTCACGGCACCCTTTACGGTAACACGACTCACGGAAGATTGCCTTTTCGGTTTGCCAGTTCTGCCCCTGAAGTGTTCTCACAGTGGTTAGCACGTGACTCAGAAAAAAATGTGATGGAAACAAATGGTGCCGAGCTCAATCAAACACTGATCCCAGTCCTCTGGTAACAGCAGCATCAGGAAGCCCAGACAGATGATGAACACAGCGATGAGTCGCACTGTGTTGAAGTGGATATCACAAGTGTACAGGTCCACCACTGCAACACCAACCATACAATACATTAAGAGCCACTAACATCCACCACAAACTCTCTAGATGAAGTTACAATAACTGTCCACTTTCAACTGACTCAAAAACAGGTTTCCAAATGTTAGAATCTTTTTCATTTTCTCCTTACATAAAATTATTTTTAACATAAATCTTTTCAAACAGACATACAATGAGCTACCAGTGTAATGAAATATAATATCCCCCTAATATATTAAAGGGATAGTTCACCCAAAAATGAAATTTCTGTCATTAATTACTCACCCCCATGTCATTCCAAACCTGTAAGACATTTCGTTCATCTTCAGAACACAAATTAAGATATTTTTGATGAAATCCGAGAGCTTTCTGACCCTGCATAGACAGCAACGCAACTGAAACGTTCAAGGCCCAGAAAGGTAGTAAGTACATCGTTAAACTAGTTCATGTGACATCAGTGGTTCAACCTCAATTTTATGAAACTACGAAAATACTTTTTGTGTGCAAAGAAAACAAAAATAACAACTTTATTAAACAGTTCTTCTCTTCCTTGTCAGCATCCGCCACCATTCACGAGTACCAACGCAGGCTCTCAGATTTCACCAAAAATATATTAATTTGTGTTCAGAAGATGAACGAAGGTTTTACGGGATTGGAACAACATGAGGGTGAGTAATTAATGACAGAATTTTCATTTTTTTGGGTGAACTATCCCTTTAATATATATATTTTTTTTTATAATTTGTAATATGCATTTCTAATTAACATTGCAATAAACGTAAAATGTGGCAGTTTACATCAACTTATTCATCAATTACTTTAAATTAAACTCTCAATATTTTTATTTTGTACTGTAGTTTTTGAATTGATTACGTCATTCTCAGTGCTTCATGTGATGAGTAGATTTGAAGTCTTGTACATTTAGTCAAGTTCCAAATACTATTTTGCTTTAAATTCAAGTTTGTAATGAGTCAATTCTTTTTGTAGATGCTTGGTTTGGTTCATGGCTTAAAATATTTTTGAAATGGAAAAATAATTAAAAGAAAAACAAACAATGCCACTAAGCCATGTCATTACTTTATTTTGGTGAACTATCACTTTAAATCAGTCAGTGGCACAAAATACAGTTTTTCTATAAGCAAGTTTGCTATTATAAAACATTTTTACTTTGAAAATGAACTCACCTGCATTGACTGGGACACTCAGCACAATGCCAAGTGAAATGAGTGTAGGGTATGTAATGGCAATGCCAAAATTCACCAGAATATTGAATGCTGTAAAAGAAGAAGAAATGCACAGTAAATGTTAGATATAATTGTGTGTATATTATATGTATAATATACTGTTTTCTGTCAGTATTTTATCTACCTAGTAAGAGTCCAGCTACTCCACACAGGTAGGCCCAGGGAAGATCAGCTATGGATGTGAAGTACTCAACATGTGTGAAGTACAGTATAACTGGCACAAAGCTCATAAAGACAAAGTTTGCACCTCCGACAATGGTCAGAAACAGAGCCGCCTCTCCAAATTTGGCACTGCCCAAGACAAGCTTGAAGAGCACCTGAAGAATGAAAAACAAGACTAGGTCAGGTCAGATTTTTTTTTTTTTTGTGATTCGGTTCATTCAGATGCTTAATTTCAATTAGCTAATCCATATGGAGTTATCAGAGTATTCGTATTTTACTTGTTCTATTTTGTAACAAAAAACATATTTGGTTAAAAAAATTAGTTTTATTTAAATGTAAGTCTATATGCTTGATATTTTCATTGGTTTTGTGTCAGAAACAAGTTGAACTATATAATGTGGGGCATTTTCAAAGCTTGTAGTGTAGTTGAGTTCTGTTGTAATGGCCAGCATGACTGTACGTAAATACTTTAGCTTGTAGATTAGCAAACTACAGATTCAAGGCAACACTGGACAGGATAAATATAAAAAAGAACATGGTTTTATATTTCAAATGTCTGCAGGAAAGACGACAAGGGTATAACATGGCTGTTTTTTTAGCTCATGATAAGTTTGAAATGACAGTCAACTGATAAGCTCAAACTGATCTTTCTGGCCAGTTCCCTTATTGATCTGCCCTTTGCAAATGACCGCAGGAGTTGAAAGTACATCACAAATCAATCAAGACAAATAGATTAGTGAAGTCATTTCAACTACAGAAAACAAAGGCACTCCAAGGACGCGTCACTCCATGACTATGTAAAGAGATTCAGTTATTTATAAGTATAGTTTCAATGACACAAACCCCGACAGGACTGAACAGAAAAACATTTGATGAATAACAAAAGGGTCATGACTGTTGATGCGGGATTACCTTATAGAGGGCAGAGGCAGATGCAGAGGCCACTACAAGCGTTATGCCGATAACAGAGTGACTGTGAAAGCCATCTGCGTAGGTCAGCATCACGATTCCAGCGATGGCCAGAATGGCAGCAACAATCTTGTAAAAGAACAAAATAAAGGTAACCGGCATCACACTGTGTTACGTCAAACAGCACAAAGACGGCCTGTAGACTACAGCATCTATCACAATAGCTAAAACATCTAAAAGAATGAATGCAACATTAAAAAAATTAATTAATAAATATATGAAAAATTATAGAGAGGGTTGGTACAAAACATATATATATATATATATATATATATATATATATATA